AAGTCAGGCCTGTAAGCTGGTCTTGAACCACAGGATTCCATCTGGTTGCCCCAGAGTCTGGCATTTGACTTTGCTCCTTTCAGCACAATCCCCTCCTCCAGGCCAGCCTTCTGGTTTTCTGGGGCCTCATATCTATCATAGTGACCAAGTTAGACCGGTGGCCTTCTCCACATTTCCCACACCAGATTCCCCTCTGCTACTCATTACAAGATCTCCCCGACACTATTCAAGGGCTAGGGGCCTGCCTGCTGGACTAGATTTACATAGGATCACCCCCCAGTCTCCACCCTGCCCAATGGCAGGCCAATCTCCAGGTACCATATTGTCTAGTCGGGCCTGAACTGCTGCCATCACCACCCACATATTGAAAGAGGAGACTTCGAATGTCATGAAATCCACCTGCCTACCTGGGCAGGGTCCTCCATGCGTGGTCAACTACTAGTGTTTCTCTCAATTAAGTAAGGTGTCTCCGAATATAACTTCCACCCGAGGTTCTATTCTGAGATCTTGTCAATTTAAACAGGACTTCCCTACTTTCCCCTCTACCCAACCACCCTTCAGATGGAAGACATCTTTGATCACGTGTTCCTTTTGCCTTCTCTCCTCAAAACCAAAACACTTTTAGTTGAATTAAACTTAAAAACAAATTATTGAGCCCTACTAAGGATATGTAAGATATAGCTAGACCCAGAGATGGAAAAGTAGGAAGAAGGAATTCTGATCTCTGCAGTAAGGAATTATTTTCCTACTTGATGGGAAGTGGAGTAGAGCCAGGCTCAGAGGACTCTGAAGCTTATGCAATTTTGTGGCCCTCTTAAGAATTAAAAAAAAAGAAAGAAAAACAAAAACCCACACACACAAAAGAGGGACGTCTGGGTGGCTCAGCAGTTGAGCGTCTGCCTTCAGCTCAGGGAGTGATCCTGGGGTTCCAGGACATTGGGTTCCCTGCATGGAGCCTGCTTCTCCCTCTGCCTGTGTCTCTACCTCTCTCTCTCTCTTTCTGTGTCTCTCATGAATAAATAAATAAAATCCTTAAAAAAATAATACAGAACTGCAAATACACATAATTTTTTTCTTGAAATAAGAAAGGAAATCACAACAAATGAAAAACTATATAAACTCTAGAAACAGAATCATAAAACCCAGAAAAATTACTTATTTTCATAAACTGTCAGACATATATATCTCTTTAATACTTTTTCCCTTCACCTTTTTTCAGTCACACACTCTCTGGTTGCTCCTTCATATAACAATAAACTTGTGAAATAATTTTTTTTAAATGTTTTATTTATTTATTCTTGAGAGACACACAGAGAGAGGCAGAGACACAGGCAGAGGGAGAAGCAGGCTCCAGGCAGGGAGCCCGACGTGGGACTCGATTCTGGGTCTCCAGGATCACAACCTGGACTGAAGGCAGGTGCTAAACAACTAAGCCACCCGGGCTGCCCTGAAATAATTTTTTATAGGAAAAAACCAGAAGGATAATTTAGTCTTTCCTCTACCGTGTTTGATCAAAACTTGCTTTTCATTGACAGTTTAGAAAAGTCTCTTTCACCTTCTCTGGCTCAGCTTCACAATTCATTATTTGTAATGTCATGTATATTGTTGGATTTTTCCCAAATTTGGCGAAAACTGTCAAGTTCATTCCATATCAGAGCTATATATAATTTCAGGGACTTTCAAGTTTTCTTGTGTGGTGACTCATCTTATTCTTTGAATTGACTACACTCACTATCCAGTTTGCCACCAATATTTTTGTAGTGGCTTATTGTGAGTTACATATGCTTTTATGTTATGTCAATGTTTTATATCAATAGCAAAAACTTGGTAAGAATCTATATAGCTGTGCTTGGGAGATGCCATTTCAGGCTGAAGAGCAGTCTGAGCACAAACAGGCCTGGAAAAGACAAGAGTTCCATGGATGAAGCCAAGGGTATGTGGATGGTGGCAATGGGTGATAAGATTAGGATATTAGACCAGGTGGGAAAGTGGAAAATCGTGTCAAACAAAGCCAACATGTAACGACAGACTCTCATGCCTTTAAGCATAAGAATCAAAGCTTCTGATGGATCACTGAGAGTAAGAAAGCCAATCTAGTGTTATGTCCATGAGATGAACCTTGGAATGAATCCTAACGCTGCCAAGTACCAGTCTGTGAAACTGCAGCAGCAACACGACTTTACACAGAAATGACTGCCAGCCACGTGAATGGATGTTCCTAAATCCTGCTACAGGTACCTCCAAGTCAACTTTCCCTTAGCCAGTCCTGAAAATACCCCAGCCATTCCCACCAGCCAGACTCGAGGAAGTACGAGAGAAGGGAAGCTGAAGTAGTAAGAGAAACCAACCCCAACTGACTAAAACATTTTCTGTAAATTTTACAAAAACATAAGACCACATGAACACATTGCTAGGGACTCTCCCAGGGCTATGCAAGGGGCCAATGTAAGTGAGGAGCCCAGAAACTTAAGTTTCTCTAGTTTCTTAGTACATTCAGCTCTTGGGTGAGAGCAGAAAACAAAAACCACATACACACTATTTTAATTATCTCCTGTTGAGTAACAAATCATACCAAAACTTAGTGCTTTCAAATCACATACTTTCATGATCTCAGGATATAGGGTTGGGAACCCAGGCACAGCTCAGCTGGGTCCCCTGCCTCATGGTCTCTCACAGGGCTGCAGTCAGGGTGCTGGCCGAGGCTCTGCAATCTCCTCTGAAGACTCAACTAGGGTAAGAGTGGCTTCAAAGCTCCTTCATGTGGTTGTTGGCAGGATTCACTTCTTTGAGGACTCAGACTAACTGCCTCACTTCCTAGTTGGCAGAGGGCCAGAGACCACCCTCAGTTCCTTGCCACATAGGCCTTTCCAACATGGCAGCTTGCTTCATGAAAACCCCCAAAAGAGAGAATTTGCTCACAAGACAGGAGTCACAATCATTGAGAGACATGGAAGGGACATCTCATTATCTTTGCTGTAGTCTATTGGTTACAGGCAAGTCACTAAGTTTAGACATGTGGCGGCTCCAAGAAGCAAGCTGATCTCTAGAATGATTCTTAGTCTCCCTCCACTGGCAGGGACACGAGGCAGGACACAGCTGGCTGGGCGGCCCACAGGGTGGGGCAGGAAGTTGGAGTACCTCTTACAGGCTGTGGACACAGGAAGTGGTGGAGATGGAATGCCAGACTCCAGTCCAAATGGCTCATGCTGAGACCCAGTCCTCAAAATGAGTCATTAAATGCAGGACTGGGACAGAAATCAAAGCCAAGACGGGAACATGAGAGCTGGACAAGAAGTAATTCAGGTAGTCCTTCAGAGAAGTGGCCAGCACTGCGGCATGCTGTCTACCCATCCTCAGCTTATCTTTGCATGGGCAGTTGGTCCATTAAGAGGCTGGGATGTGACAGACGGACAAAGAACATAATAAAGAGTTAGTAAGTATGTGGAACAAACAGTTCCCTACTTTTTCTTCCTCCCTTCTCTGGAGACCTTTTTTTTTTTTTTTTTTTTTTTTTTTTTTAAGATTTTATTTACTTATTCATGAGAGACACACAGAGAGAGGCAGGGACATAGGCAGAGGGAGAGGTAGGCCGCACACAGGGAGCCCGATGTGGGACTCGATCCCAGGTCTCCAGGATCATGCCCTGGGCTGAAGGCAGGTGCTCAACCGCTGAGCCACCCGGGGATCCCCCATCTGGAGACCTCTGAGTGCCACTCGAACTCTTCTTTCAATGAATAATACCTTGTTCATCTATTCAGCCAACAGCTGTGTATCAAGCTCCAATTACAGAAATGTATAGAGGTGAAAACAACAGATACCTGCCCTTATAGAACTTTCCATCTACCTTCCCATAAAAACTGGGTGGAGAAAACAAAGATTAAATTCAAATTAAATCGGGGTGGCTCAGTGGTTTAGTGCCTGCCTTCCGCCCAGGGTGTGACCCTGGAGACCTGGGATCAAGTCCCATGCCAGGCTCCCTGCATGGAGCCTGCTTCTCCCTCTGTCTGTGTCTCTGCCTCTCTCTCTCTCTCTGTCTTTCATGAGTAAATAAATAAAATCTTTAAAAAATTTTTTCAGGGGATTCCTGGGTGGCTCAGTGATTTGGTGCCTGCTTTTGGCCCAGGGCGCGATCCTGGGGTCCTGGGATCGAGTCCCACAACGGGCTCTCGGCATGGGGCCTGCTTCTCCCTCTGCCTGTGTCTCTGCTTCTCTCTCTCTCTCTCTCTCTCTCTCTCTCTTTCTCTGTGTGTCTATCATGAATAAATGAATAAAATCTTTAAAGAAAAATTTAAAAAGAATTTTTTTTCAAATTCTTTTTCAGCCAATCAGGTTAGTACAAAACCTTAGGAAACACTTTGGAAATCTAAAACTATTGCCTATTTACTCACATACTTCCTCCTTCCAGAAATACTATTCTAGGCATTTACTCAGTCATTGGACAACTACCTCTGGAGCTCCTCTCTTGGGCAGGGTACAGAGGTGACTAGGATCGACATGCCTCTGCCCTGGAGAACTTTCATTTCAGTTGGCAGGAGACCATATGCAAGCAAAGACACCAGAGCTTTGAAGACAAAGGAGGTAACAGGACAGCAGGCATGAGGGGCCTCTGGCCCAGAGGAACACTGAGGCTAATGGGGGGGACACACGGCAGCACAGCAAAGTGGCTCCCCCAGGCAGCTACAGCCCTTTGCTCAGAATGCACCCCAGACGCCATGCAACTGGCTCACAGGCAGGCAGGGGTCTCAGGGCATCACGGGATCAGAATTACGGAATTTCAGCATCAGCAGAGGCCTTAGGCCTTTACTTTATCTCCAGCACTGGGAGGGAGTAAATGGACGACCAGGGGACAGCCCAGCCTGCAGGCGGAACGCATTGAAAGGACCCTTCCCGCGGCCTGTAAGCCCAGTGGAGCCTAATGTGAAGGTCCTGTCTTTTACTGGTGTTGGGGGAGCTGGGAATTGATGGATTTGGTCTGGTTTTGCCCAAGAATTGGAACTTACCTTTTCTTCTCCTTGGATTCAGTGAAATTTTATTCTGTAACAAGCTGCTTGTTGAGCTAAAAGCCACTCACCGTACAATTCACCCCCTGCGAGTGTACGAGGCCAGGGGTTCTCAGAACATCCACAGAGATGTGCAACGGTTATCACGATGAATTTCAGATCTTTCTCGTCACCCCCAAAAGCGACCCCACACTCCTCAGTAGTCATGCCCCCTGCCCCCAGCACCTCCAGGCCCTAGGCAATCACTGTCCTGCTTTACCTTCACTGCCCACCTGAAATTATTAGGTCACATGCTCTGTGAGTCACAGTTGTGTCACTTAACAACACTTCGCAGTAGCCACAAACCTTCGACAAATAGGTAAACGTGTGAGAAGAACACCAGGCTTCGCGGTGAGTCACGAGGACAGAGCGTGAGTCAGACTCTGGGATGACGAAGCCCGAGGGAAGCAGCTGACAGAGGCGGGCACCCCGGGACAGCAGGGTCAAAGGCCAAAAAGCAGGTGCGGGTCATGGCTGGGGACTGGCAAAATGCCACTGCACCGGCGGCCCCGGGCTGCACCTTGGCAGCCTCCCAACGAGCTTCCCGGAGGCCCAGGGAGACCACCCCACAGTGGGATGAAGCTGGGGGGCTACGCAAGGAGAGTCCCCCACTTGCCAGCTGTGTGGGCTTGGGGGCACGTTCCCTGGTAAGCCTCACTCTCCTCGTCGGGAACCCCGAGGGGGGGCGATGGCGGCGCGGGCTCCGGGACACCCCCCTCTGCGGCACAGTGACACACGGCGGGACCCCCAAGCCTTCCCCCAGTGGGGTCCGGAGGTCCTGCCTCCCCACCTCCGCCAACGCCAAGTGCGGCTTTAAAAGAATGATCACGTGATTGTGAGAGCGGGGTACGGTCCTGTGGCTGCTCCAACCTCTGCAGCTCTGCAGCTGGGCCCCAGCCTCTGCAGGCCCCGGACCACCCTGGCAGCTGGGGGCACAGAACTTTCTAATGAGCATCTGTCCACCTTCCCCGTCACCTCTGTGTCAGGCTCTGGAGTGCCTCCTCCTCGAGGGAGGAGCCAGGGTCTGGACTCGGGCTCTCCTTCCCTTGACCATTGGACCCACACCCCATACTCAGGCTGCATGGGCAGCCAAGCACCCCGCCCTGCCCGGTCTTTTCCCACATCACCAGCATCTTCTCCCGAGGAACTGGATTTTACACGTGCAAACACACACACAGACACCCCCTTTCCCTGTTGTTGGCTCTTTATGTGTCACCAGAGCAAACACTCAGAGCCTATTAACCTGACCCTGAAAGAGACGCTGTAAACTGCCTTGCCCAGGGATTCCAGACCTGCCCTGAATACACCCTGGGAGGAAGGAAGGACTACCCTGCTTCCTGAGTTTTTCTACCCAAATTCTTTGTCCTAAGACAAATACATCCAGTCCCATCTCCAGCTGCCTACCAGTGTCTCAGGGTAGGAGTCGGGAGGCTCTCGGAGCAGGCCTCAGCCCGAAACTCGAAACTCGGGGAAGGAGTGAGGCTTTCCTGGTATCAGCCAGGACCAAGGAACGCAACTCCAGCCAGCCTGGGCCACAAAGAGAATGTATCGGCCCCCGCGGCCAGCCAGGGCAGGGGGAGGACTTCCAGGTCACCTTTGCTCTCTCCACTCCCCCCTTTCTGCTTCCACACATGTTGCCCTTATTCCTTTGCTAGTGGAAAGCTTTGCACAGACAGCCAGGATGCTGGTGGGGTAACTCCAACGGCCCCATTTAGCAGCCCCAAGAAAGAACCGCTCCCCTCCCCTAGCCCCAGAGACTCCAACAGGCCCTGCTTGTTCACGTGCCCAGCCGCCCCCCCCCCACCCAGTCTTGGGGCTCCGACCATCTCCAGGAGGAGGAGGACAGAGGAGAGCATTCTGGGCAGGCAAAAATAGTAGCTACGACAATCCTCTACATGGCAGCTGTTTTCAAACATGAGAAACTTCTCCTCTCTGAGTAAAAATAGAGCCCAAATGCTCTAAAGTAGAGGAAGAGTCTGGAAGGCCAAGAATGCTGCCGAAAACAGCCGTTCTGTAAATAAAGCGCTGTGTGCTAGAGTAGGACAAGGAGCCTCCTGGAAAGCAACGGGCCACCCGTGAGCACGCTGGCATCCCCGACCCTGCCCGAGGAGCCCCTGTGCTCACCTAGAGGGAACACGGTTACTTTAGCTTGGGCATCCTTGCCCGGCGTGGGAAGAAAAGGCAGGCATCTCCCACATCCGACTTTGGTGCTCTCTCCACCCCCGACCTGACTCTCCTCCTCCGGCGTGACCCCTAAAGGCTGCCCAGTGCTGCAATGCACCCCCTCATTGGTGAAAGCCCCACCGCCTGCTAGAGGAGGAGGTCCACCTTTGGTCTACTCCAGGTCCATGAGGAGAGGGACTGTGGGTCCTCAGGTTCTGATCCAGACCCCATCCACAAGGGGTATGGGACAGCTTCCCCCACAACCATGGTCACCGCGGAAATAAACACATTCTTGGGGCACCTGGGTGGCACAGTAGGTTGAATGCAACTCTTGGTTTTGACTCAGGTCACGATCTCAAGGTCATGAGAACCAGCCCTGTGGTGAGCTCTGTGCTCAGCGTGGGGTCTGCTTGAAATTCTCTCTCCTTCTCCCTCTGCCCCTCCTACTTCTGTTCCCTCTCACTCAAATAAATAAATAAATCTAAAAAAAAAAAAAAGAAGTAAATGCATTCTTTAAAGACAAATGAACACTTCCTATTGTTAGCACAGGGGCTTTGCCCCTACCCTGAGGAACAGTAGACTCTTGCCCCACCCCGATCCCCACGTGCTGGGGAGCATTCAGCTCTCTGTACCCTTCTTGAAGCTTCAGATATTTTGTTTTTAGGATTGTTGAGTTTTGGTTTTTTTTTAATATTTGTTTGTTTGAGAGAGAGACCAGGAGTGGGAGGGACAGAGGGAGAGACTCTCAAGCAGAGTCTGTGCTGAGTGCAGAGCCCAAAGCGGCACTTGATCTCACGACCCTGAGATCATGACCTGAGCCAAAACCAAGAGTCAGATGCTTAACAGACTGAGCCAGGCAGGCGCCCCAAAGCTTCAGATATTTTGAATGAGAGCACCAACCGTGTGTGAGGAAGTGACTGGTGGGAGGTGGTGGGTCAGCATGGGATGAAGAGGATAAACAAAGGAGCAGTAACAGTAGCCAACACCAGAGGAGGAAAACCAGAGCAAGAAGAGGCACAGAGGGAGCAACAATGACGATGAAGAAAGAAACAGCCGCCATCCCCTGAGCTCCTCCTGCATGCCAGGCTCCACCGCTTCACAGGCATTCACTCATTTAATGACTTGTACATCTTAAACGTGGAGTGTCCCCCAAAGGTATTTTTTAACTGCAAAGAGAAAGATAGTACCTTGCTGAGGTAGAAACCCAACAAACGTGTTAAAAATTACCAGGAATTGGATAATACCGTCCACTATTGGCACCATAAACCCCCGATGTGATGCACTGAGGACAGACCACCTTTTCTGTGATATTCTTGCCCCAAATCCACAATCTCATTCTAATTGTGAGAAAACATTGGACAGACCCAAATTGAAGGAGTCGGCTCTTCAAAAGCACCCTTCGGAAGTCGTAAAAGGCAAGGAGATGTGAAGAAACTGCAACAGATTAGAGGAGTGCAAGGAAAAATAACTTCTTGCCATGTGGGGCCTTGAACAGGATCCTGGAACAGAAAATGGGCATCAGTGGGAACAAACGGTATAGTTCAAGACCTGTCCTGTAGGCAAGAGAAGGTTGATTTCCCGTTGTCGGTTTGTCCAGCACTGATCGTGACCACTGCAGCACGGTCATGTACGATGTGAACATCAGGGAAAGGGGGGGGGGGGTTCTCCTGTACTACAGCTGTTCTGTACATCCCAAATTAATTCAAAATTTGAGGTGTTTAACTATTTTTGCATTTAAAGTTTTCTAAGTGCAAGATTTCTTTTTTTTTATTAAGATTTTATTTATTGATTCAGGAGAGAGACACAGAGGCAGAGACACAGGCAGAGGGAGAAGCAGGCTCCCTGCGGGGAGCCCCATGCGGGTCTCGATCCCAGGACCCCGGGGTCACGGCCTGGGCCGAAGGCAGATGCTCAACCACTGAGCCATCCAGATGCCCCTAAGTGCAAGATTTCTCCAAACAAATCAATCCATCTCAGAAGAGCGACTTAGTGGATTGGTCTACAGGAACGAAAAATGCCCAGACTCTGGCTAAGGCAGAGAATATTCTGTCTGCCATCTTGTTAGCAGTTCACCCCAGCTGGGTTTTTACTGCTCCAATAGCCCCTACCGGCCAAGGAGGTCCTCAGCGGTGGGTGCTGGACCGGCACCCATCTCAACAGGCGTTTCTGCAGTTTCTGGCGGCTGTGACCGCGAGACAGGCCACCTCCGGCCATGAAATGCTCTCTCCCCTCCCAGTGTCGTGGGCCAGTGGGCTCACAATGAGGTCGTTCTGCACCTTCCATCTTGTTCTTCCACCCAGCAGGACTCAAGGAGTGAGAAAGTTCTTCGCTTTCTCGACTACATTGCACCCCACCCCCTCTTCATTCCTTCCATGGTGACTCACTTTTGGAGGCTTTCACAATCAAATAAATAAAGGCATTTCCCATCCACTTTTTAAAGCCCAACAACTTCATCCCTCCACGTCCACCACTCCTTTCTCACACCCCACAGAGGAAAAATCCATGTGACATTATTGCTAAGTGGCTGTGGTGTGCCTACGGTGGATTATCTTCTTTACCTTTGTGCTTCTCCGGGTTCCTCCCTCCCATATCACCCACAGATCAGAGGCTGCTGCTGAGAATCCGTAGCCCCCGCCTCCTGGTTGACTGCAGTCCCAGGAGCAGGCCCAGGGGTCCTCAAGTTTCCAGGGAGCAGAACAGACGGGACTTGCACCCCGTCGCTGTGCTAGACTTCGGCACCTGTCATCTGGCTCCTGTGGCGTCGCCCAGTTAGGTGTCCTGCTAGGTCCCTGCAAGCCTGGCCCTCGACTTGACTGTCTTTGTGCTGAGGCAGCAAAGTTCTGTTCTCGTTCCCTTCTGTCCATCCCCACAG